CGTGGGCATTACGGGAGAATAATGCCCTACAATTCAGTGACAATTAACCAATCAGAGCGCGCGTTATATCGGCCACAAGCCAAAGCCATATAATAAAGTTATAGTAACGTATTAAGCACCGACTGTTTTGCAGACATGACGAAAAGATCTTGAGAAAATTAAACAACGCCGAACAATCGTAAACTAGTTTTTCTAACTAAAATACTCGAATGTACTATAAAAATTTCATCAGTATTCGAGGTTCAGTTATTATTAAAATTGAATCAAGACAATTAAGAGTTTGCTCCGCACGAGATGAACCAAGTAAAAATATATCGACAGTTTACAAAAACTGAGCAAAGCTCTCAAGTTCGCAATAATGTCTGCAAAAGAATCGGCAAATGGTGGCTGATATTCAACCGCGTTTGAGATTTAAGTACTTTGCACTATTTCCTAGTCTCTAATTAAGGCATTTTTTTCTCCAATCCAGACAGTTAGTGTGCGACTAGATGATCCATTGCAAATTAAAGTTCTTTCTACCATTTTCCAGTCTCTTGATAAAGTCTTTTTTTATCCGATCCAGACAATATTGGTGTGCATGTATTCCTTAGCAAATTTGGACATTGTTCAGCAACCATTTTAACTAGTTATCTGACAATTTCAAAGTTCTTATCTTTAAAGAATTCCTCCTTGTTTGGTGATTTAAGTTTGTCAGCCACTTCTCCAACTTCCTCCGAGCCAGAATTAGCTTCCTTGAATTCCTGCAAAGAGAATTGAAAAAGTCCAAGATCAGCAAATGTAGAAATGTTCTAAAGTAGTAAATGTATGAAAGCTTCGGCCGACACTACAAGTTCTAAACAAGCTAGGAAACTGGCAAATAACAAAGCCAAAATGTGACAGTCAGTCATGATACAATGACGTACATTCCAAGAGCAAAGAAACTAAACAAAAGAACGAAAAATTTGGCCAGGCAAAGTAATTATAACTGTTACCTAAAAGAAAATCACACTACGAGTAGACCTTTAGAAATCCATATGGCTACAATCTTAAAATTTTAGCGCATGTTTTTGCCTTTTAACAGGGAAAATAGTTTTCGTCGCCAGACTCCTGAATTAGTTTAGTGTATTCAGTTCAAACCCAGTCGAGTCTTGATTTCAATGTTTCTTTCAGGCGCATTAGACCACCAAACATCCGAAATTTCAGTAAAGTATTACAAAGCATTAGCTTTTGCCGCAATTCTATTCAAATTGGCCGTCCTTGAAATACTGCAAATGAAACAGGAAATTTGAGATGCCGCTTTGCTGTCCTGTTTCAAGATGTGGCGACGCTCAAAGAGCTTCCAAACGAAGAGAGAGTCCATGTGTTTGACTCGCTTGGGCAACAGTTTGCTACTCGTGTGGCCTTCTGAACAAAATTAAGGGATTGCTTTCCAACAGCAGTACTTACCTTTGATTGATACAGAATAAGGTCTTCTTTTTAAGTGTTAGGGCCTTCCAGTATCAAGCATCTTCTTCCTTCAGGAGTAAAATTGGCCCTGAGCCGGACGACACGTCTTCACTCATCAACAAACAGTTTGAAATGCGCAACACTCTACGATTTCTATGAATATGGATTAGAGACTCGAGCCAATCGCTGGCAGACGGAGTACAGAATCGACGTGTGAACTTGTTTGCCAGCGAATCATAAGGCGCGAAAAAAGAAAGAATTCGTGCGTTTATGTATGCAGGCTACGAGATTTTTTTGTGACCATCCATCTTCTTTTGTTAATATACCATGCTGTACCAATGAATTATAATTTTCGCTCACAAACTGGAACCAAAACGAATAAGCCATTTTACAGTTGTGTGCTTAGTTACCAGGCCATGAATGCAAGCAAGGCTGGAGGTGACCTTGCTTTG